TGGCCACAACTGACTAGCCAACTTCAGCTAGGCAAACATCTGCCACGCACAGATCCACTTCCAACTGCAGAGCTGGGCCCACTGGTGGCTGAAAACACACCCCACAGCCAGCTCAGAAGAATAACCGTTATTAAAAACAAACTAAGAAAACTTCTGCACCGCCAGATAGGCGCAGTACAAAATGGGGGTCCACGTGAGCCCTAGGTGCGACTCGTAAGTGATAAACCTTAATCCAGGAGGTACTGCAGCTTCGTTTCGATTCACAAAGCTCTGGAAATGGATCCCTCAACAGTCAACAGTCAACAATCAACACTATGATATACCGTTTTACCTTCCTAGATGGATCTTTAGAACGAGGAAAGTTGACCTGTGTCTTTTCTAGTTGACAACAAAATTGTAATAATGATAATTTTCGCCGTTTGCATTAAGTACAAGTAAAAAAAGCTTCGATCTGGAGCATAGGGTATAATTTTCGAGTGACCGATGACCTGTCCAGAGCCCTCTACTGCTATCATCGGTAGGGGAGAGTGGGGCAAAGCGGCCACTTGGAGCAAAACGGCCACCCATCGTTTTAGCCCTTCATAGCTAGCGTCAGTTCCAATTTATGGTTTCCAATTATACTTCTCTTCACGGTCGTTCGAATGAGCCGGACCGGGGTTTCAGGCCCATCACCATTGTTCTGTGAAACACGGAAAAGCATTTCTTGCCAGGTTACCAATTATGTTTACAATTGTTAAATGCTATGTTATTCCATAACCGTTTGGAATTTTTATAAGCGTTCTTGTCCATGCATTGCATGGTTATCGTTCATGTATTCTACCAATTTTATTGTTTTCTACCCCACTAATAACTCAGCTGGAATATTTTTGTCTCGGACGGTATGCGCGGGGCAAAGTGGCCGGGGCAAAGTGGCCACCCCCAATTGGCCATAAGTTGTTTCCATCTGGATAAAAAACATTATTTATATTCAAATGTGTCATCATGCATTCATCTTGGCCACTTTTCAGTTGCATGAGTTACCAAATAATGCAATTAAATGTTTTTTCATGAAAATCCTTTCTTTGTTTACCTACAGGTGGAAGATGATAAAGTAAACATCCATCCTCGCTTAACCTTGTCACCATCAAGTACACTAGTCGTACACGAGGCAGCTATTTTGTTTCTCATATCGGGACTTGAGAAGACGCCGGTGGCCGCTTTGTCCCAGGGTATGGGGCAAAGTGGCCAATATGCATAGGTTGAAAGCTTTGTCAATATCTTTCATATGTGAACGCCTTTGGAAATAAAACGCAGTTGAAATAAAGGCAACTTAATAGGGATCACATTGGTATAGAAAGAATCTTTCCAAGTTTAAAAATCAAGCGTTGGCATCGTGAGAAGCGTTAGGGTGGCCGCTTTGCCCCACTCTCCCCTACTGTGTAATTTAGGCATCCTAGTTACCACTCGTTGCAGAGAAGTGAGGTGCGCACTGCGCAATGTGGATGCACACCGGGAAATTTGCTCGCCCATATCTCTCAATGCTGCGACCAACGTCACTTCGTTCTGTGCAGTGGTACAATATAACTCAAAAGACCACGGTTCATCTGCGGCTAATTTCCCAGGAGAAGCTAAGGTACGAGGGTATGGCTGACGAGTTGTTCAAATAATGATGTTATATATAACTAGAGAACTGTCAGTTCCAGCCACCAATGCACGGCTACCGACGTTACTCATAAGTCATAATAGTCTTGTATCCTCAAACGGTCGAATCACTAGGGTTACCCGCGTGCTCCGCAACGCTAAGGGGGGATTTTTTGACCCGTGGGTTGGTCTCTGTCGATTTGGTTGGTAAATATCCATTTCGTTCGATTGTCCTTTAGAATGATTCGAAAACTGGCGTGAAGTCTTTTGAGGGCCATCGATGAATTTCGCTAAAAATGACAATGTAATGGTTTGGAACATTTACATTTTTAAGGATACTGTTGCTAATCATGCAAAAATGAAGAGTGAATATTGGACAGAATTGAATGCTCTATCCAATGGTACCATATTCAATTGCCAAAGGTATCAGGTTATGCAGCAAACCCCGTGTGATTAATAAAGTGGCACAAAATTGACAAACACCATTTTCTCCTGTGATTTGCACCACCTTGATTTGGATCAATCAGCTTTTCACAATTTTTATATGAGAGGCGGTACCTTTCTCTTGCAAATAGGCGTTGATTCAACTCGCTCCTTTTAACGGTCACCTAAAAATAAAATTAATTCCAAAATCCCTCAAAAACTGCAATTTTTCAAATTAAAGTGCCCTCTCCGGTGCACGTGGCGCGTGCTATCCTCTGCATTGCACACCACTCAATAGCCCGTTCAATTCTGTACACGATGCTGTTTTCCCCGTGCCGGTCGGACCCCTGGTCACCAAGATATTGCACGGGAACTGGACCCGTGTCGGCCAAAATTAGTCGTTTTCGCCCGATTTCGCAGGCCGATTTATACATGTAAAGTCTATGACGCGAATTTGCACTTTTTGAGCACGCGCCACGCGCTCCCTATCAATCCGATCGAGCTGAGACCCCTCAAAGGCACGTCGCGCATCCTTGATCTATAAGTTGTGCAAATTTCAGGGCGCTAGGTGCAACGGTCTGGCCTGTAGTCCACGCAAAGCACCACCAAGTTGGGACCTCGGTAACGGACAGACGCACTCTCCTCAAATAGTAATATAGATGTTCGTAGGTCTTCACAGAAAATAAATACTCGTAATGAATAAATCTAAAAATGACAAAAGCAGTTTTCACTTGATCAAGGTCATTGAAGTAAAACATTCCAAACAGCATTTTATCGTTACCTGCTTAAATATGCATAGCTAAAAGGAAAAAAAGTGGAAAGCCATGAGCCATAGCTATTGGCACAACGTTTAAACGTAACGTCTAAAAAAAACTAATTCAGGCGAGGGTTCACTCGCGCTGTGCTCCCGGCGTAACTGTAACGCACCAAGGCTGGTCAACATCTCGCCTCTCTGGTGTAAAGCCCCCGTTGCTCAGGTCGTTATAAGCCAGACAAACTTCTGTTCTGATGTTACACAGTGAGGGCTCTGCCACCGAAGTTGCGTCCGCAGACGACTCCCTGGGGCTGAACTTTGCATCACTAACTCAGAAGCCGGGAGATGCCGGCGAACTTTAGATCACCAATGCGGCATAAATAGATAGCCACCGATGCATGTGAAGTTGGCATTAGTAAGAGAACCTATTCCCAAATCGCCTCCATGAATGGCGTGCGATTATCATAACGAGCACGGTGAAATTTATTGCCGTCCATCTAAATATGATCACTCTCCCGATGCGCGTCAGTCACCGGGCTCGCCGGCCGGGCGTAGGCACCAGGCGGCCCCGGGGGATGGAGTCCAAAGTCCGCTGCCGGGACGGCCTGCGGTCACTCTCTGGACTGACCCAAGCCTCCTTCAGAGCCTGTGTTGGCCGCTGTCGCCGAGTGCCGCGTCACTGCGAGGTGACCGTGACGGCCGGACCGAGTGGCAATGTTGCATGACGGCCATCCCGCCGCCCCCCCCCCCCCCCCCTCCACCGGACCAGTCACGGCAGACGAGTGGTGATCACGTGCTGGTGTCGATGGCGACCTCGGCGGTGCCGTCACCGTCAGTGTGGCAGCAGCGGCGCAGGGTGTTTGAAGGGAAAACTTCATACGGTTGGTTATGTTGAAGGAGTGATGGTGGGTTTGTAGTCTACTCCATAACTTCACATGATTCATTTTATTCCAAAAACCAGACAGTGGTACTTACTAATGATGGCTACCCAGAAAGTTGTTAGGTGGAAACAATGAGAGCTGAAGAACAATGACTTAAAGAGGACCCTTTTATGCTCTGATGGAGAAGTATTGGTAGGTGAGAGGATGGTGCGACGAAGTGCTCAGATTCAGAAGTGTGGGCTAATCTAATGAAGGTCGTTGGGCTGTAAAGAAAATAAGAACTGAGAGAGGAATAACGGATTCTGATAAGGTGAAAAGAGATGGGGGGGGGGGGAGATGGCTGAAAAGTGGAGAGCTTACGACGATTACTAGGGGTTTCATAAGAGATTTAGCTAGCGGGGTCGAAACCGATAGTCGTGGATTATGTTGCTGAAGTTGTGGAATATGATGAAGAAGCAGCGTCCTGTGAGGGACAGGCATCGACCCGCCCGTCTCTATGCAGTTATGTCTGCACATTCTCTGCAGTCTGCAGTGGGGATCGTTGCCGTAAATGAGGGTTCCCGGTCACGCACGGCAGTAATGGATGCAGCTCAGCGCACCAAGTTGAAGGATCAGCGCCGGCGGGCGGTACACATCCCCAGCAGATGCTCCAGCCGCTGATGTTTGCGGTGCTGCCACAACTTGTGAAAATGAACCACATCAAAGGCACCAGCGCTGGTGTAGACACAGTGTCTATCACCTGATGATGCCGTGACTTATTTTATCGAAGCGTGTCAACAACTCATTGAGGATTCAGTGAACAGGTCGAGTCAGCGGCACCATGATCCGTTGATGGGTGTTGAGAGCGCCTATCAAAGTATCACATGTGCGTCATAGTGCTGTCAGAACAGGACTTCCGGCCGACGCGAGGCTGGCGAAACCAGTACAATAGCTCGGCAACAGGTGCGATCGGCCTGCTGACACCTGGGGTCGGTCACACGGTGCAGCGCGTGTCACGTCCGACACGCGCCCCATCGGCCCGCAGCCGAGTCAGTCACCCGTTCGCACTCGGCGCCGGGCCGCCGGGACCTGCCGCTGGCCTTCTCCCCGAGACTGCCGCCGACCGCGGGACCGTCCTGCCCAGCCAGCCCCTGGGACGTCCTCGCGAATTTTCGGAGGGGTCACCCATTGATCTGGGCGGGGCGGGTCCTGGGCGGGGGCGTGCCGCCGGCGACGACGACGGCGCGCGCGCACAGTACGGCAGGCGGCGCCGGGCCGGCCGCCCGCTGCCGGGGCCGCTATTGCCAGCGCGCGCCCGGCCGGCCGTCAGTGCAGCGCCGGAGTCCGGCCGAATAGCACGTCGGGCCGCCGCTGCCGCCGCGGCGCCGCGCCGTCAGCGCTGCTCCCTCCGCCCGCTCTCCATAACTGCGAGTACAATGTCGCCGCGCGCGCAGCGCGGCCCGCTCGGCGGCTGCTCGTGCCCGTTCGCGATGGCCACCGCCGGGGCCCAGTAGCGCCTGAAGATGGGTGAGTTCGTGACTCTGACGGTGCCGCCGACGGCGTTCAACGAGGCCGTGTCGGTGGTGCCGGACGTGGCGTCGCGAGCCGACGCGGACATGCCGTGGCATGAGGTGCTGCTGACGGTGCTCAAGGCGCTGGCCATGGTGCTGATCATCGTGTCGTCGGTGCTGGGAAACCTGCTGGTGATCTGCAGCGTGATCCGCTACCGCCGACTGCGGGTCATCACTAACTACTTCATAGTGTCGCTGGCGCTGGCCGACATGCTGGTCGCGCTCGGCGCCATGACGTTCAACGCCAGCGTGCAGCTGTCGGAGCGCTGGATGTTCGGCCTAGTCGTGTGCGACCTCTGGAACTCGCTGGACGTGTACTTTAGCACCATTTCGATCCTGCACCTTTGCTGTATCAGTGTGGACCGCTACGTGGCCATCGTGCTGCCACTCGAGTACCCGATGAAGATGACGCGCACAGGGTGCTGCTGATGATCCTGGCCGCGTGGCTGGCGCCCATCCTCATCTCGTTCATCCCAATCTTCCTCGGTTGGTACGCCACCGACGAGTACCTCAGCTCCCGCTCCCCAGACGAGTGCTCCTGGGAGGTCAACATGTGGTTCGCGGTCGTCTCCTCTTCCATATCCTTCTGGATCCCGGGCGTCATCATGGTCTGCCTATATCTGCGCGTGTTCAGAGAGGCGGACCGCCAGGAGCAGATGCTGCACAAGGCACGCGGCAAGGCCCAGATGGGTCACACAGAACGGCGGAGCGGATGGAGGTAGGTGTTGGAAGTGTGGTGGGTAAGATTAGGGACTAAGGTCTTGGGCAAGGCGTAGGGGCTAAAGGTATAAGACTGGGCTTGTCTTACGGGCAAGGTGATTGGGAAGTAAAGCTTCGGCACACGGGGGTGCAAGAAATAGGGTGAAAAAATGTCTGAGGTGTCGGATTACGAGGGAGGGATAAGCGTGGCGACTTGGACTGTGAACTGCAAACTGTGTTACTGTGGCTGTTGCTTTCGTGCTGCCTGTCTGATTTACGTGTTTGAGTTATTTTCATCCCATGTTGTGTCTGTTGGGTGATGTGTGGCTGTCGTCCAAGTTTGTCGCAACAAGGTAGTTAGGGACTCGACAATATTCCAAAGTTCTGATCACTATACCTTTGGCAAGTCAGGTAAACATCCAGTCAAGTACGCTCTTCAACTAGATGGCTGGCTCGAGAAGATTGAAAATGGCTCGATGCTGGCCTCGTGCCCTCGTGTTGCATAGATGTGCTGGTAAATCTTTTGATGCATTCGCTTTCTTCGTGGGTGGTTGATAGAATTATTGGTAAAAAGATGGCAGGACGATTGTCTATAGGCTTAGTTTTTGGAAACTTACAATGACATTCGTTACTCACGCCCTTTTACGTAGATAAGACTCATTTGATGGATCATATGATGGAACTATGCAACAAACTGCAATGTGTTTGACATGACAGATTAGCTATCATATTTAAAAGTAGCAAAGCTCTTGCTGAAAGATCGTTTTATTATTTATTATTGCCATATCTGTGAGCTTTTATTGAAATAACGATAGCTCCGACCATATGTCCATGTCTAGCAGAAGTCTGCATAAATATCGCTGGTAATTGGGAGCAATGTGGACAATGACCCGTTACAACAAGAAAAAACAATTCCCAATTATTTTGTTTTTATAAGTTCCTGCATTTTAATTTTTTGTTGCAATCCTCAGAATATGGTATGGATCGGTTTCTAATCAGACGATTCCTTACAATAATTTTCAAAAAAAAAGTTCTTTTACGTATTTTGTCGGAGTAATTTGCCGCCATATACTTTGCACCTTCCCAATACTTTATTGATCCATGCTACAGTTCTGCACCATTCTTTTTATCGGAAAACAATTACTGCGGCTACATGGTTCACCTTGGCTCCATTCACGGTCAGATCCACCTGCCAAGACCCACCTCAACGGGGCCGTGACCTCATCGTGGACAGCCATCCTCCTACACATGACATTGTCCACAGCATAGCTCGATAGACTCGCCGGGCATTTCAGCTGTCTCCGCCGCGTGCCGGCACGACTGGGGAACGTTTTACTGCCGCCGTCGTAATTAGCGACTCGTGTAAGTGCCGTGATTAGCGGGAGCCAGCGCCGGCACCGTCACAACAGTGGCGCGCGGCACGCATCCGGCGCATCTGTTTTCCGCGGCTGGTCGTGCGCGCTGCTGTTGTCGGGTTTCGTCCAAACAGCCCGCCTGTCCGCTACCGATCGGCTCTGCGGCTCGGCTGCAGAGGTTGCGGTCTGGTCTGAGGTCGGGCTCCGCTTCCCGTTCCCACCGCCTCCTATTTAGCTACTGCGTTCCGTGTTCGATGGGAGCGGTCGCGGTTAGCACTGATGTGCGTTTGCGATTTCAAACCCCTGTTTCTATTCTCATTTCCTCCACTCGCCTTCTCTGATTGCCTGGCTCCTCCAATCCTTTGTCGCTGCGGCGGCGGAGCGGGAGGCCATAACAACACCATACGACGGTCGTTGCCACGTTTACGACGACAGCTGATCATTGGCGGAGTGATACGCCAGGGTAAAACAGCAGATAGGCCGTGCCGGGTGTGCAGCGCCTCCGCAGACTCAGAGAGCTGCTCAGCAGGCGTGATACTTCCCACAGAATCACGGCCTGCACGCGGCAACGGCGAGTAAACCAGTGGAAACCAGTGGTCACTCTCACACCACGATTCTTGACGTCATCCTAGGTGATGACGGGTTTCGGACGGGCGGCGACGAATGCGCAGACGACGGCGCGATGACGGAGGGACGACTGACGGATGACGGACGGATGACGGGTCTGATCAGTCGATTGACGGACATGTGTTGAACAGACGGCAGGATGAGCGATGGCAACAAACAGACATCATCATGTTCCGTTAGTATAGCGGCGGTGGTCAGTAGTCAGTCCTTGTCCACTCTTACAACCGCTTCCACACGACGAATGTCGGTGGCCTCGCGTGTTCGTATGAACATATTTGGCGGCGTGGGTTGATGGGGGTGGGTGGGGGAGGGGATGGGCCCTCGGAGGGGGTCGGTGTCGGTGACGTGGCTGGCGCAGCGGGGGAGAGGCTGGCTGGCATCCACGGCACCGTCTCGGCCACTCAGTGGATGTGCCAGAACTCGCTGTGACAGCTGTGGACTCCTAAACCATCCTTTTACCACTGCTCCTGTCTGCCGCGGCACGGAGAGCACCATGTTCCGCTTGTTCCACCCCTGATCCGAGTGACAAACCTTTCTCATCACGTCGTTCCCCATATCCTCTCGGTCGCCAGTAAACATTACATGTCGCATCCCCTTTGCGGAGCGGCCGCTGACGAAACAACGCACCGTCGCTGGGGGCCCGGCCCTGCTGAGATCACAGTGAGCCCCGGCCTTGCATCAGTTGTACTGAGGCGATTTAACACTCTCCTAATCACATTGTGAGTGACGTGTGCCGTCATCGGTTACATGACGGATCGTTCATCGTTTGAGAGCAGCGGTCCGCTAACGGAAACTGCCAGCAGGCGAAGAGAATCGAACCCGCATCCATGCGGGTGTTGATAAAAGCACGGTTTATGAATGACTGCCACGCGAGAAGTATGATAAGACGAATATAAATCCCACGAGTTGTTTCCCAATCATCACAGTGGTACATACATGCCGGATTATTGCGTAAAACCGGATACGAGATGACTGCGGGCTGGATAACATTTCCAGAAGTCACCACCTTACAGGCTGCTAGTATAGTGGTAAGAATTGGCAGGATCTGACTTTCCATGTTGTCACTGTTGTTATTGTTATTTACGATTTAGGTAGTTGTTTGTAAGCATGAGACTAAAAGCCTTCTTATTACATATCTCGATGCATCCCTCTGCTATCGGTATCGGTTCAATCAGCTAGCTCAGGCCAATGCGTCCGTTCTCTTTACGATATTGCACTAAAGCTTTTTTCTCCATGTTTCAGAGTCATTGATGACCAGAATTCTCAAGCGACAAAACAAATGATGCCGCGCCGTATAGGTTCAATCCCACAGCCCCTCTCCAGACTAGACACGGCGTAGGGGCTACGACGTTTGTCCGATGTCTGGCTTCCAGGTTTTCACCGATGCAAGCCAGCATCAAACATGACTGGGCACATGGACCTTCCCTGCAAAACCCCGAATGCATCCTAAGGCTGCCGCTTTCCCAGCCCACCGGCGGGGGCATCACCAATTCGGCGCCTTCCCTATATGTGCTTGCACGGTACGATCATACTAACCCGATCGGGGCGCTCGATTTGGCTGGCCGGCCGGCGCCGCGGTCGGTCGGACGGACTGTCGGGCACCATATCCAGTCCGGTCGACTCATCTCCCGTGCGATCGGCGACTGGTGAACGGTTTACGGCGATGTGTCAGTGCAGTCTGACGGAGCTGGCGCCGGTGATATGTGCAGTGTGCACAGCTCTGCTTACAGCCCAGAGGACCATCCCGGTGTGCCACACCACCTGGCGGAAAGAAATATTCTCGCGTCTCGCTCGCTTCTGATCGTCACTCGCGCTGAGCACCACCCAATGGCTCGCCACCAAAACCAAACCATCTGGGAGCTGCTTATGAATTCGCGGGAGAGTCCCGTAAGCTGTGTCAGTAAAGTGTCTGGCAGGCAGGGACCGGACGTTCCCCTAGTGCCGGTCTGTGTGGGGAGTGAGATGGTTTCCGCGATCCCTCTGCGTCACTGGCGCCGCAAACAAAA